CTTGAGTGATTTTTTTGAGGGGGGTACTGGGATTAAACTCAGGGTCACTCAGCCACTGAGCCACATCCCCAGCCCCATTTTGTATTTTGTTTAGAGAGAGGGTCTTACAGAGTTGTTTAGTGCCTTGCCATTGCTGAGACTGGCTTTGAACTTGTGATTCTCCTGCCTCAGCCTCCCAAGCTTCTGGGATTGCAGGTGTGTGCCACCGTGCCTGGCTTGAGTGATTTTTTTTAAAAAATGAGACAAATATTTTCTTGCTTAAAACATAAATATAGTCCATATATTTCAGGCAGTGCAGAGGGGAAGGGAGAATTCCGCAGTACCCAGGGATGCTGGGGAGGAATGATTCACCCAAAGCCTCATGGAGACATGTCTGTATATTCCAGAGACATCGATTTCTGGATTCTTTGAGGCAGACTATGGGATCAGGAGTGGATCCCTGAGCTCTATCTGAAGTGATGAATCCTTGTTCTCCAGGAGCTTGGAGGAAGATAGAAAAGCACAGATGAAGAGAACTGAGAGCTTACAATTGATCTCACCTTCCTATCTAGGTCTCAGCCAAGGAAAACTTGGCTACTTATTAATTTAACTGGATGGTGAGGCTAAATATGGATGACACTGAACCCAGGCAAGACAGCTTCAGAAACAAGAGAAGAAATTCCAAAGGGACAAAGGGATAGAGTTAGAGTCTGGAGACACTTAGGGGCAGGTTAGCAAGAGTTGAATCTGAGCTCTGCAGGTCACAGAGTCCCCTTAGGGGCCCTTACCACTCACAATGAAGTCAGATCGATTCAATTCAAAATCGGTAGAAAGGACATAGAGGAAGGGCAAGAAGATGTAATTCTAATCCCAGTTTCCATATACTTCCCCAATTTTGTCTGTCTCCCAGGTCTGTCACTACCAAATTTCTGGGAAGTCTGTAAATCTTAAAGTTACCAAAAATTAACCCACTTATGAAAATTACCTTGTGTGCTATTAACCCACCCACAAGTAAATTAAGTAAAGAGAGATGTTACACTTTAAGAAACATAATTTAGGGGACTTCCCTGTGTTATCTACTTATTTGATCATGGAGCCCACATCAGCCTAAGGATCCTGAGACCAACAGACCACCATGAACCGTCTTGTGATCACCAGACTGATCTCATCCTTGCATACCTTCCTATACTGTCACCAACTTTTCTTTCAAAGAGGAGCTGGGAGCAGGGTGTGGTGGCCACACCTGTAATCCCACTGGCTCAGGAGGCTAAGGCAGGAAGATCACAGGTTCAAAGCCAGCCTCAGAAACTTAGTGGGCTTTAAGCAACTTAGCAAGACTCTGTCTTGAAATAAAAAGGCTGGGGGTGTAGCTCAGTGGTTAAGCATCCCTGGATTCAATTGCTGGTACAAATAACAAAGAGTTGGGGTCTCCAAAAATGCATTGTTCACTCTTGAGATGGCCTGCATTCTGCCTCGAATGTGTATTACCCGATTTCCAAAATATATCTCTGTGCTTCTACTAATAGCTACTAACGTTTTTTTCATCACATAGTCAAGACCCCACTTGTCCTGAGTAGAGGTCCCCCTCTGAGACCTCTTTGGGTGACAGCATGAGTGAGTTCTTTGTAGATGAGTCAGCACACATACAGAACCACTAACTGAGCAATGGTATGTGGGTGACCCCTGCCAGGACCCACTGAGCCTGTCCCAGATAAGCAGAGCCATCCACATGGCCTATAGACTCCAGCAATCATAAAGGGGATTGTTTCAGGCCACAGGATGTAGGAATAGTTGATTCTGCAGCAGCAGGAGACTGACACCTGGTGTGTTCAATGATTTCTACATCTTCTAGTCTCTGCAGAGCTCACTGACTTAATATCCACCCTCTACTCTGTCATCCCTGAACATGTTCTTAAGACCCAAAGTGGGGAACTTCTCCGTTGTTTCTATTCTCTGGTCACAAGATGCCACCTGCTTGGGAATGAATGGGGCTCTGTCCATGGTGCTGACTGCAGACCCTCATGCAGGAACCCTGGAATTGTAGACAGGCGAGGAGTGTTGTCTCTCACCAGCCAGGAGCGCTCACTACTGGGCTCCATTTTTGGTAATCATTGTTCAAAAAACCAAGTTGCTTGTTAATCCATCCTTCCAAAGTCATTGTACAAGGAAACGTCTACAAATTCCATTTCACGTAGATCAGGAATCTGCCCTAAGAACACTGGGAAGTTTCTTTGCTGAATTAATCGTAACCTTCTGCCCCTGCCCCCCATTCATTCTTAATCTGAAAAATTTCTCTTCATTCACTTCTTCACTGATCCTCCATAAGGTCTTGTGAATTCTTAGTTTTTTGTAACTAAATATGATAAATTTAAATATTATTAATTTGTATATAAGCAACAGTGCTCAAATGGGTCATAGAACTTGTCCTCACATCTTCTGTGCAGCAGGAACAACAACAGGTGAGTGCTCAAGGGGACACTAGAGGAGACAGAGCTGGTGTGGTCCAGTAGTCCCGCAGTGAACACCCCTATAATCAAGGTATAGAAGTCACAAACTTATCAGTGTATTTATATACCCTGTTTTCCCTCTTCCACAGGTAAGGAAGGGCTTCTATAACAGCAAGAGCCTTGTTTGCTCTTCTTGCCACATCTTCCTGTTCTTAACACATATTTGACACACACTGTCTGCCACACGACCAGTGCTGGCTTCATGAAAGGAGGTTTGGTTCATAAGAAATTGCTAGTGAGTATTAAATTAAAGAGACAGACTCTCATTACCTTTAACAGAGCTCTGAGACGGCTTCTCCTAGCTCCTGCCTCCAGCCACCTAATGCGGTGGTGAGGTTTACAGAAGAGATAGCGAGAGAGTGAGAGCATGCCAGGGAGTGAGCTTTTATTGGGGAACAAAAAATTCAAGGGAAAATCCCATGCAATGAAGGTTAAGGGGGGCAGAAACCCAAAGTTAGGGCCAGCGATTGGGTATCTTCAGGTCAGTGGCCAGGCATGCCTCTGCACGGAGAAGCCCTCGGACCTGGGAAAGGGTGGGGAAAGCTTTTAACACCGCTGTGTTTAAGCGCCTCTCACCCAGCTAGGGAGATAACTCAAATCACGTGTGAGGATGGCCTCCCACAACAATGGGCGTGAGGATGTTTTATCCTCAAATTTATCTGTTGTATTTATCCTCAAATTCTGCACCCTCATGCCATAGAAATGACTTGGGAAGAAACCATAGTGAATATGTACAGACTTTTCTGGTCACCATTCTCTAAATACTACAGCATAACAACTATTCATATAACATTTAAATTGCCTTGGATATTACAAGAAGTTTAGACTTAAAATATATGGGAAGCTGGGCACGGTGGCCCACGCCTGTAATCCCAGTGGCTCAGGAGCCTGAGGCAGGAGGATTGCGAGTTCAAAGCCAGCTTCAGCAATAGCAAGGCACTAAGAACTCAGTAAGACCTTGTCTCTAAACATATATAAAATAGTGCTAGGGATGTGGCTTGGTGGTTGAGTGCCCCTGAATTCAATCTCTGGTACCTATCCCCCCAAATATGGGAAGATTAGTAGATCATATATAGATAATATACTCCTTTATTTGAAGAACTTGAGCACCGACAGACTTTGGTGTCTACCACAGCGTACCAGAACCAATCCTTCTGGGATAGAGAGGGATAACCACTAACAGAAGAGATAGTATGGAAGTCTAATTTGCTAATTAAATATTGTCTCATTGCCCCTGTTGTGGAACACCTATAAAAACTTATATATGTCATATATAATGCAATCATGTAATGACAGTAATATAATTATGCTATAGTAATTATAATATAATAATATTAACGTAATATATAAACTCTAGATTATTTCCAACCTATTTTAATGCACCTATGTTAACGGAAGTAATCCAAAGATTGAAAACTTGGTACTGAATGTGTTAAATCCTCTTGTCTGACCCTGTGGTGCTGTGGGCACCAAAATCTATGATCAACTGAAGTCTTAACTCCTGTTTGAATCCTCCAGAAAATCAGACTAGAAACTGAATAGTTTCCCTGCGGAAAGGACAACCGATCAGGAAGAGGAAGAACAATGAGATTTTTATTTATTTTGTATCTGAATTTGGATAAATTTTTGGGAGAGGGAGCTCCTGACCTGGACCATAGTTAGCTCGGAGCAGTCCCTTATGTGGCCCGTAAATCCGCTCTTCCAGGTATTTGTAAGTACCATGTCCATGAATTGCTCCCATGCCAGTTGGGGACCAATATGGGACGAACCTGCTGTCAGTGTGCCTCCTGGAACTCTGCTTTGGGCACCGCTCTTGGATCCCATCCCGCCAGCTTTGCCAGTGATATGTGAGAAAAGGCCGCCAGGTGGCGCCCGAGGACTGGCCCCCCGAGGTCACTGGCTCAGATTTAGGTCTCCAAGGCCAGGGTACATTGCTGACAGTCTGGACGTAGGGGGTCGCCCTCCTACTGTTTCTCAGCCCCAGACAGTGGGAGGGCCACCTCCCCGGCCCCAAAAAGGGGTCTTAGGAAAATTTGCGGGTACGCTCCCGTGATCATTGGGCGTTGCTGAGGTCAGCTGCCAATGCTGTTACCCAAAGCTGGGTCCTTGTCCCAATGCCAAAACAATAATGACACAGTTTTGAGAAAAAGGAAAAGGACTTATTGCTTTGCTAGCAAAGGAGAAACCCAGGGGACTCCTGTCCAAGAGGCTGTGATTGTGCCCATCAGGGGGAACAGGGGGCTTTTAAAAAGGTGATCAAAAGGCTACTTTCCACGTGTTCTCTGTTGAAGTTGAAATTCACTTGTTTATTTGGGAGACAGTCATCTTTGAGATCTTCCGGTGCCATCCCTGAAGTCTGAATTACTTCCGTTCCTGTGATGGGTGTGTGCTCAAGGACAGAGAATTCTGCCAAGGATGGGGAAGAGAGGTAATGCTGTTTCCCTGAGGCTGGGGGTGGAGATTAGAGGGATACAGAGGAAGAGAAGCCAGGGACTTGCACTTGCCAGGCGAGTGCTCTACCCCCAAACCACACATCTCCAGCCCTTTTAAATTTATTTGGAGACAGAGTCTTGCTAGGTTGCCCAGGCTAGACTCAAACTTGTTGTCGCCCTGCCTCCATCTCCCTAGTAGCTGGGTTGTAGGCGTGCGCCAGCATGCCCTTCTCTTCCTGCTTTTTCCTCCCCTCTCCTCATCAGTCTCTTTTCTCTTGCTCTCTGAGCCCCTCCTCTTCTGTCTTCACATCCCCACCATCCCACCGCTGCCCTCCTCCTTTCCGGCCACTCCCCTGGATCCCCCAGATGCTCTGTTCCTCCACTATGCCTGTCAACAACCTCCCAATTTGTTCTCTGGCCACTGCTGTTTTACCCCACATACATCACATCAGGATGAGACCTGTTAGAACTTGTTGGTGAGAAGTCTGAGATCTGATTTGACTGGAACCCTGTTCAGGGCAGATGGGAAGCAAATGCCGGCTACAGAGCGAGGAGGACTCCAGCCCAGGTTTCCGCCCATTTTGTAAAGTCATCCTTCTGTCCTTCCCCGCTCTGCATAGTTGCCCTTGCCCAGGCAAGGCTCCTTCCTATCCATGGGGAGAGCATTTCTTCATCTCCCTCTGTCCCTTGAACAGTAGACAAATACACAAGCTATAGCTCAGCTCAGCCCACAGGCCATCCTGATTTCTGCCCCTTCTCAGGGACATATTCTGCAAGGTCACTTCTTCTATTATATACCCCAAATGACTCCAACCTTTCCTGAATCTAAGTTGAAGCCAACTTCAGACCTCACCTGCCTTCCCAGAGAGTGTCCCTCCCAGCCCCATCCTCCACTAAGTTCTTCCCCCACCATTGCAGCATGTGTGGGCATCGTCCTGCTCCTGGGTACAAGCACAGATGGAAGCACAGGTAAGGATACCTGGGAGTGAGGGGGCAGGAGGCCTCTCCAGGGATGTGAGCTTGCCTGGGACCACAACTTGGTGATAACCATCTTGTTTCCTGGGGAGGAGCACAAACTCTGGCCCTTTAATGCATCCCCATTTGGTCAGGACTGTGGCTGTGCCAGCGGGTGCCCAGGTGTGGGGACCATATCTACAATCCCTTGGAGCAGTGCTGTGACGATGACGCCGTCCTGCCCCTGAATCAGACAAGGCGCTGCGGCCCCAACTGCACATACTGGCCTTGCTTTGAGCTCTGCTGTCCTCAGTCCTTTGGTCCCCACAAGAAGTTTGTTGTGAGGTTGAAGATTCATGGTGAGAAGTCTTGGTGTCCTACATCCCTCACCTCCAGAATCTGCAGGTTGTAAAGACCTGCCTTCATCAAGGTAAGAATACAAGAGGGGCTGGGGCAGGGAGGGGATCTGGGCACTTGGCCCTCTGGGGTGGGGGCCATGCCCCACATCTCCCCATCCCATTCCATGTCTGTATCTCTCCCACTTACTCAGTCTCTGCCTCTTTCATGTCCTGCAGCTGATCTGGTCAACCACTCCATCCTTTGGACATTTCCTCCTGGGAGCTTGGGAACACGTGGACAGGACACATTCTAGGACGTAAGAGGAATGGGGGGCATGGTTCTGTGAACAGCATTAAAACAACATGTCTTACAAGTGGTCTGGCTGAATATGTTCTCTCAAGATTTACTCAAGGCAACTTGCTGCAAAATGATCAAATAGAAAAATTTCCCTAGGAAATTAATTATCAGTCCGTTTGGTAACAGATGTAGTGTTGCCAAAACTACACTAGTTCCTGATGCCAAATCAAGAATGAGGACATGGTTTTGAGAAAAAGGAAAAAGAAGGTTTATTACTTTGCAGCAAAGGAGAAATACAGGGACCTATCCTAAAGGCTGTTGTTCTGGCCATCAGTAGGACAAAAGGCTTTTAAAGAGGTGACCCAAATGCTACTTTCCACATATTCTCTGTTGGAGTTGTAATTCACTTGATAATTTGAGAGACATTCATTTCTGAGATCTTCTGGTACCTTCCCCAAAGTCTGAATTACTTCATTGCTAGGGTGGGTGTGTACTCAAGAACAGATAATTCTGCCTAGCATGGATAAGAAAAGTAATACTGTTTCCCCCGAGATTAGGGAGCAGGAGAGATTAGGGGTGAGCAGGGAAAGAGGAAGAGGAAGAAATACCTCCATTTAAAAAACCAGTTTCTGTTGCAGAGCAGCAAGGGCCATATTCAAAGCATAAAGTGGACCACTGTTTCAGTAGGGCCACAGGGTCCCACGTGATAGAGAATTTGGTCATCCTTCATACCGAGTTCTAGAGTTTACTTCTCTTCTGTTATGTTTTGTATGTGAGGTGTCCTCCAAATCTCACACGTGAGACAATGCAAAAAAGTTCAGACAAGAAATGATTGGGTTGTGAGAGCCTTAACCTATTCAGTAAATCAATCCCTGATTAACTGAGTGGTAACTGGAGGATGTGGGGCATTGGGGGGCTTGGCTTTGGGGTATATAATTTTGTATCTGGAGGGTGAACTCTCTCTCTGCTTCCTAATCATCATGTGAGCTGCTTCCCTCTGCCGCACTCCTCCACCATGATGTTCTACCTCACTTTGAGCCCTCAGAAATGGCGCTGGCCTTCTAAGGACTAAGACCTCTGAAACCATGAGCCCTCAAATAAACTTGACCTCTCCTTTAATTGTTCTGTCAGATATTTTAGTCACAGCAGCGAAAAAGACACAAAAACAAATGGAAAGGCCTCCCATGTTTATGAATGGGAAGAATCAATATTACTAAAATGTTCATACTATAGATTTGATTAAATCCCCATCAAAACACCAATGACATTCTTCACAGAAGTAGAAAAAAATCCAAAAATTCATATGGAACCAGCCAGGCATGAGGGTGAAAAGCCTGTAATCCCAGTGGCTTGGGAGGCTGAGGCAGGAGAATCATGAGTTCAAAGCCAGCCTCAGCAACTTAGCAAGACCCTGTCTCAAAATATAAAGGTGTTGGGGGTTGGGACTGTAGCTCAGTGGCAGAGAGCTTGCCTAGCATGTGTGAGGCACTGGGTTCAATTCTGAGCACTGTATTAAAAAAAACACTAAACAAATAAAGGCACGCTGTCCACCTGTAAGTATAAAAAATTTAAAAAATATATGTATAAATAAAAGATATATAAAGGGGCAGGGATGTAACTCAGTGGTTATACCCCACTTGGTTTAATCCCTGGTCCTAATTTTTTTTTTATAAAACCAAAAAAAGTCCCTGATATCGAAAACAATCTTAAGCAAAAGAGAACAAAGTTGGAGGCATTTCAATACCTGTTTCCAAGCCTCCACAGAAGCAAAGGAACTAAAAGCCAGCATGTACCAGCATATCAGGGCATATAGCATTTATTACCCACCAGATAGATTCCTTCTGAACAAGAGCATTTTCTTGGGTCAGGTTGTGGCTCAGTGGTAGAGCACTTGTTTAGCAGGCATGAGGCACTGGGTTCACTGGGTTCGATTCCCAGCAACACATAAAAATAAAAACAAATACAGATGTTATGTCTATCAACAACTAAAAAAAAATTTAAAAATAGTTTCTTTCCATAGCCCTCACTGAGGCATGCTATTGTAAACTTGGTATTGCCATGACTTCTAACAAGTAAGAAATTCAATAAGAAATTCTTCCCTCTATCTTTATCCCTTTGTTCACAACATGGTAACAAGGGTTTACTTTGGGCTTAAGTTAAATTAAATCGAGATAAGTCCTTTCCAAAACTATACCAATACCTCTTGCAAAAAGAAGCTGTATGCCCCATAATTACATCTCCCATAAAAAGAGCCATTTAAAAAAAATCTTTATTTTATTTTTATGTGGTGCTGAGGATCAAACCCAGAGCCTCACGTTGCTGGGCAAGTGCTCTACCACTTGAGCCACAACCCCAGCCCTGAGCCATTTTTTTTTTTAAAACCAGAAGTTCTTAAAGTCACTTAATTCCCTCATCTACAAAGCTATTGGTATTTCCCAACAAATGACTCAGGATCTCTGTGCTGTTGTGTCACAATACTGCTTTTATATTTGTGTGTTCCTCATCTAGACACAGTGCTAATCAATGCACAAGCCAGTGATTTAAATATTTTGTTCTCAATTTCTATTCATATAAGCAGTCAATTTTACTTGCTTTCCCCTATCAAGGACTCCTGAGGCATATTCTGACAGGCCTCTGTCTGGCCCCTGCTTCATTAAGAATATGTCACCAAACTTTTATAATTCTACTTTTCCTCTTACTGGTTTGCAGTGGCCAGTAGGCTGCTAAAAAACAAATGGCAATCTACACCATCACTCCATTCTTTATCATAGAGGTAATGCCAGAGAAATCATATTCCTCGTTGAGCGTCAATGAACATTTGCTAACTCTAAATCGCTGTGTCAGTTTTGCAATTTTAAGAGATGTAAATTTTGGAGATGATATTAACCATGTTTTGGTAGTTCCGCAGGTCCAGAAATATCCCACTGAGCCTGGGGAGTTTCAGTATACATACAACACATTCCCATGAAGGCTTTCACCAGAGCCCCTGGCATCCTTATGATTATGGAATGCTGACTCTACACTTACCTCCAAGTTCAGGGGGCTAAGGCATTAACCACATTCCTTCCCCAGCCACAGTGATTGGACAGGGGATAAAAAAATACTCTGATTTTTCCCACCTTCCAATCTCTTGTGCACATCCTGCCTAAGAATAGAGCAGAGGATGGTGGAGCACCAGTTCCTCCCATCCACCACTATTTAGCAGCCAATTTCTCACCAGATATCATGGAAGCCATCCATCAGTGTCATGGTATATTAAGTCCAGAAAGGAAAAAACAATCATCAAAAATGAAGTTGAGTCAGGCACAGGGGCACACACCTGTAATCCCAGAGGCTCTGGAGGCTGAGACAGGAAATCGGCAACTTCAAAGCCAGCCTCAGCCAAAATGAGGTGCTAAGTAACTCAGTGAGACCCTGTCTGTTGGGTGTGTGGGAGACTTTGCCTTTTGGTTTTATTTCCCCCATCAGGTTTCTCCCTGCTGAAGTTAAGTTTTCATCTAAGAACATCATTGTAATCCTTTACCCCTCCCCTTCCTCTCTGAAGGGTGCCAAGCCAAAGGGCACCAAAGTCAAAAGTTTTCACGACCAATCCCCCCAGACACAATGTCCGCTTGCCAGTTCCTGAGTCACCTGCCAGTCAGCACCCACCACGTTGCCTACGCAACCTTTCTTAAGATGAAGCTTGCAAGCTCACTCTCTCTGCTCTCTTCTTCTCCTTTCTTCCCCTTCGGGCAGCCCCTACCCCCAATAAAATCTCTTGGTTGAATTTCTGTCTCTGGTGGGGTCACTCGCCTTTCACTGTCTCTAAATAAAATATAAAATGGGGCTGGGGATGTGGCTCAGTGGTCAAGACCCCTGAGTTTAGGCCTTGGCACCAAAAAAAAAAGTTATAAGTTTCCAGATATATAAAAGCTGAAATATTTGTTGCTAGTAGACCTGCCATATAAGGAACATTAAAGGGACACCCAGGCTGGTTCCAAAACTTGATTATGGTGACTGAATAAAGAAAATGTGGTTCCCAGTTATCTCACTCCTTGGTATAGAACCTAAAATTAGCATACTACAGAGACACAGCCACATCAGTGTTTATAGTAGCTTATTTATAGCAACTGAGCTCTGGAACCAACCCGGGTACCCTTCAAAAGATGAATGGATAAAGAAAATGTGATATATATGTATATGTATGTCTATGTATATATATATGCATATATACATACATATATATACACATACACACACAAGATGAAATATTACTCAGAAGAATGGTATTATGGCATTTTCAGGTAAATGGAGGGAACTGGAGCCTATTATGCTAAGTGAAATAAGCCAAGCTCCCCACCCCCCAAAAAAAACAAAAACCTTTAACAAAGGCCAAATGTTTTCTCTGTTATGTGTATGCCAACACACAACAAAGAAAGGGGAGAGAATAGAAGTTCATTGGATTAGACAAAGGGGAATAAAGGGAAGGGAGAAGGGATGGGAATAGGAAAGACAGCAGAATGAACTGGACATCACTTTCCGATGTGCATATTTGATTTCATGACCAGTGTAACTTCACGTTATGTACAACCATATTAACGGGAATTTATACTCCATGTATGTGTGATATGTCAAAATACATTCTACCATCAAGTATATCTAAAAAGAACAAATAAAAAAGAAAGCGTGGCATATTTACACAACAAAGTTTTACTCAGTCATACAGAAGAATGAAATGGTGCTATTTGTTGGTAACTGGATAGAACCGAGGTCATCACGCTGAGTGAAACCTGACTTTACTTGCATATTCAACTTAGTTCCAGGCTGTTCATACTCCTGATCATGCAAGTGAATAGATGCCTACAAGATCAGGAAGTCTTCTATTTATCTGATTTCTGACAGACCAACTCCAGCTGAAAGATTGTGAAATCATTCTTTTTTCTTAGTGATAGGCTTATAGCTGTGTGTGGCCTAGTTAGCCAACGTCTTCCCCAAGGGACTTCCAGTGGGATTAACACAGCATGAGCAATGTCTTAAAAGGCCACGGACAGACAACCAGAAAGGATCCCCCAAGCTAGGGTCAAGAGATGGAAACCTTTAAAACAGACAAACCAGATGGGGGGAAATTCCCTTAGGTTCCCTCTCTTCAATTAACTGTGATTCCTATACCAATGGAGTCACAGATACCCTCATGAAGAGGAACCAGATGTTCCTATGATAAGAAATCTTAAGTCCCCAGGAAGAGAGACCCGATGTGTGGATTCAGGGGTCTCAAGCGCACTGAGGGAGTTCATCAGATGGCCCAGGGGTTCTGACTTTACTGTATTCACTTTCTTTTTCCTCAAAGTAAATCAAATAGTGGAACAAACCACACCTGCTCAGGAAGCAAAAGGAGCCTCCGCAGCTGCTGGGACGGTCCCTTCCTCACTCCTTTACTACCAAAACAGTTCCTCCAGTTAACCCCGACTTCCCTATCTCTGATGCTTTGTGTAATCCTCTCCCCACAAGCTCACCAGCCACCCTAAATCCCTCAGCAAGTAAGAGGGGTGTCACCTGAAGTACTAGATCTGCCCGAGAAGGCTAGAAAGTGGAGGCAGTCTTGGGTTCCATCGGGGTTGCCAAATTTGATACCAAAAGCTCAGTCCTTGCCCCAAGTACTGATCCAGTAACAAGGCAAGGTTTGGGGGAGAAAGGAAAAAGAAGTTTTAGTGCTTTGTTAGCAAAAGATAATATACAGTGACTCCTGTCTCGGAGGCTGTTATTCTAACTGCCAGGGGTTAACAGGTGGCTTTTATTTACTTATTTTAATTTTTTAGTACCAGGGATTGAATCCAGGAGCACTTAACCACTGAGCCACAAACACAACTCTTTCTAAAATTTCAAAAATGCTCAAAGTCAATTGCAGGTAAGAACAAGGAAAGGGAAGCACGAGGATGGTGAAGCTGGCTTTGGGAAAAGAGATTGGCTATTGAATGTCTGTTCCTCCCTGGACACACACCACCAATGTCTCCTCCAGATACCTCCATTGGCTGAGGGCTATGGCTGTGCCAGTCTGCACTCAGGTGTGGGGACCACATCTACAGCCCCTTGGAACAGTGCTGCAATAATGACACCATTCTGCCCCTAAACTAGACCCAACTCTGGGGTCCCAAGTTTACCTCCTGGCTCTGCTTTGAGCTCTGCTGTCCTGAGTCCTTTGGTCCCCAGAAGTTTGTTGTGAGGCTGAAAGACCTGGGTGTGATGTGTGAGTGCCACTTATCTCCTGTCTCCAGGAACTGCAGGTAAAGGACAGCCAACTTGCTGCTGGCTAAAGGAAGGAGGGAGAGAGGAGGGTGCAGACACCCTAGACCTTCTCTCCTGTTTTATTTCTGTCCATTTCTGTAGTATTCTTACTCTTTTCCTCCTCTACATCTCATAATCATTAAATTTTTCTTTCTCTGCAGTTGAAGGAAAACTTTCTAGACAAGATCTCTTTGAAAATGTGTAGTTTGCCATACACTAAGCACTAAGCTCAAATTATACCACCAGCTTCACCTCGATGTGCCAAGATGGCCCTGCGCCACTCACCTGAGGGTGCTCAGACTCCCCAACTGCCTTCACCTCCTCATGACCCAGGTTTGTGTTCTATTAAAGCACAGATGACATCACCCGTCTCACTGGGCTCTGAGAGGCCTCAGGGGGAAGAAGCTCAGGATATGACGACTGAGTGAATGGATCAGGAAGAAAATTCTTAGAGGACTTTTTTAAGCATCAAAAAGTTTGCATGTCCCCTTAGATACGCATTTCAGAGCAGAGACAAATAAAAAGTAAGTCATCAAAAACCGGAGACAGGGCTGGGGTCATGGCTCAGTGGTAGAGCATTTGCCTAGCAAGCATAAGGAACTGGGTTCAATTCCCAGCACCACATAAAAAATGAACAAACAAAATAAAGGTACTATGTCCACCTACAACTAAAATATTATAAAAAAAAAAAACCGGAGACAAGTATATAAAAATAAATAACGCATATAAACCCAAGACTTTTGCAGGCCTTTTTTTCTTTTTTCTTGTTGAAGTACCGGGGATTGGGCCAGGGTCACTCTGGCACTGAGCTACATCTTGTTCTTTTTATTTTTTTTATTTTGAGACAAGATCTCACTAAGATTCCTAGGCTGGTCTCAAATTTGTTATCCTCCTAACTCGGCCTCTTGAGTAGCTAGGATTATAGGCCATGCACCACCATCCTTGGCTTAGTTGATTAATGTATTTATTGGTACCAGAAGTTGAACCCAGGGGTTTTTATATATAAAATGAATATTTATTATATGCAAATATTATATTTCTAATATATTATAAATACATCACATATATTTACTATATTAAATTTACTTTATTAAATTATAAATATAACATATTGTAATATTTAATATAGTAAATGTATACATATACTATACTACATATTTATATGAAGTGGCTGTTCAGTTCCCTGGCCAATTAGTTGATGGGGTTATTTGTTTTTTTGGTGTTAAGTTTTGGGAGTTCTTTATATATCCTAGAGATTAGTGCTCTGTCTGATGTGCATGTGGTAAAAATTTTCTCCCATTCTGTAGGCTCTCTGTTCACCTCATTGATTGTTTATTTTGCTGAGAAGAAGCTTTTCAGTTTGAATACATCCTATTTATTAATTCTTGATTTTATTTATTGTGTTATAGGAGTCTTGGTTGGGGTTAAGAATACACACAGGAAAGAAATATAACAAATCAGCGTAAGAGCATCAGGAACATTTTTATTGGGAGTCTTTGCAACTCTCTACATGCTGCTTTCCAGCCCCCAAACGAGCAGATGTGTTGAAAAGGTGACACCACATGATGGGTGGCGTGGACTATCCCCACATAGGACAGGAGGCATTTGTCAGTGAGTGTGTGCTTCCAGCACACACAAGTGTCATGCACAGAAAAAGACTCCACATAAGGAGTTATCATTAACTTTTAAACCATACCCAAACAATGACACCTCACAAACGTGCTTCAGAAATAAAAAATTCCCTCTGAGTATCTGAAGGGCATATCTTCCAGACTGTCCCTGTCAAACAATAGGACATCTAAGAATCCTTTTTTAATGTTCATGGGGTTATTGTGAAGGACACTGTAAAGGGACCTTCTAACAATCAGGTGCAGAGGAACAGAGGGTGAGGTCTAGAAGATCCCCAAGTGCAGGGGCTCCTGTGCCCATGGGGTGGGCTTCCTTATCCTCTCAGCATATGGCTGTGTCACCACTTAGACTCTCCTTGAGAATCTTAAGACAAAGGTACCTCACAGGGGCCAAGAAAGAAGGTCCTGAATCAAGGAGACATAGTGTGGCAACTCCCCTAAATAAATGTCACAAAAAATCATAATGATTTAAGAAAACTCCTCTAAATGGAATAAAATACTTAGGAATAAATCTGACAAAGTGAAAGTCCTCTACAATAAAAACTATAGAATGTTAAAGAAAGAAATTGAAGAGGTCACAGAAGATGGAAAGATGGTCATGGATTGGCAGGATTAACATCGTTAAAATGACCATGTTACCAAAAACAATATACAGATTTAATGCAATCACCAAAATACCACTGGCATTCTTTATAGAACTAGAAAAAAACAGTCTTAAAATTCATTTGGAAGAATAAAAGACACAGAATAGCCAAAGAAATTCTAAGCCAAGAAAGCAATGTTAGAAGCATCACAACATCTGACTTCAAATTACTCTACAGAGCTACAGTAACAAAAACTGCATGATACAGGCATGAAAACAGATGCATAGACTAGTGGTACAAAATAGAAGACACAGAGACAACCCCACACAGGTACAGCCATCTGATCCTTGACAAAGATGCCAAACACAGACATTGGAGAAAAGATCCTTTTTAAACAAATGGTGGCAGGAAAAAAAATGGTTATCCATATGTAGAAAAATGAGAATAGAGCCTTATTTCTCACCTTGCCCCAAAATCAACCCGAGATGGACCAAAATCCTATGGTTAGAGCAAAAGCTATGCAATCCCAAGAACATGTAGGGTCAACACTCATACATATAGGCACAGGCAAGAATTAATACATGGGATGGCATCAAATTGAAAAGCTTCTTCACAGCAAAGGAAATGATTAAGAATGTAAGGAGGTGACATATAGAATGAGAGAAAATCTTTGCTAGCTACTCTTCTGACAGAGGATTAATATATAGTAACATCTGGAACATATAAAGAACTAAAAAAAATTAACACTAAAAATAATAACCCAATTATCTTTTTAACATTTATTTGTGTTTTTTTAGTTATATATGACAGTAGAATGCATTTTGGCATATCATATATATGTGGAGTCTAACTTCCCATTCTTGTGGTTGTATATGATGTGAAGTTACACTGGTCATGTTTTCTTTTATGAACATAGGAAAGTTATGTTCGATTCATTCTATTCACATCTCCCCTCTCTTTTCCGCCACTCCTTCTGTCCAGTCTAGTGAACCTCCACTTATCCCTCCTCCCTCCACGTATTGTGAGTCAGCATCTGCATATATGAGAGAACATTTGGTGTTTGTTTTGTTTTGTTTTTTTGATTGGCTTATTTCACTTAGCATGATAGTCTCCAGTTCCATCCATTTACTTGCAAATGCCACAATTTCCTTCTTCTTCATGGCTAAGTAATGTTTTATTGTGTATATGTATCACATTTTCTTTATCTATTCCTCTGTTGAAGGGCTCCTAGCTTGGTTTCATAGCTTAGCTATTGTGAATTAAGCTGCTATAAACATTGATGTGGCCATATCCATTATAGTAGGCAGATTTAAAGTTTTGTGTATATACCAAGAAGTGGGATAACTGGGTCAAGTGGTGGTTCCATTCCAAGTTTTCTCCCAAGGTGTTTCCATTTCCAAGATTATGAAGGATCTCCATACTGCTTTCCAGAGTGGTTGCACCAATCTGTAGTCCCACCAACAATGTATGAGTGTGCCTTTTTCTTCATACTCTGGCCAACATTTAATAACACAATTATTAAGTAGGCAAATGAGTTCAACAGACACTTCTGAAAAGAAGAAATACAAAGAACAAACAAATATATATGTTCAACATCATTAATAATTAAGGAAATGCAGGGAGATCCACAGCCAGGATTCTAGAAATGTAGGGCAGATGTGGGTTAAATGACTTATCCTTTTCATCCTAGATACCTAGTCAAAGACACACCCTCTCTGTAGGCTCATCATTTCCCAAGGGCAACTCTTATTCTCCCTCATCCTTGAACATGTTTAGTTGTTAGTTTTGCATCCTGAGGCCCTGCTAGGTGTCAAGGCCTTTATTCCTGGGCTTTGAAGAAGTCAATAATAATCAAGCCACTGTCTTTTTAAAATCAAACATCAGATAACTTCAGAAATATAAAAATACATAAATAAGGATCCCTTCCATCTCAGTACACATGATTTTGGTAAGACTTGAATCTCTAAGCATTATCCTAGAGGTCATCTGGGTATTTCCATTCATCTACTTTCTCAATTGTATCTCAAAAGCTACTTTTTCATTTGCAGCCCACACCAAAGCATAAACAATGATACAAAAAATCCAAGACTCAGGGCCTAATAAATTGGGCTTCTTTACTCCAAGAGAGAATGTAAGACACAGAGGATGCTGTGGGGAGATGGAGAGAGAGAGAAAGAGTGACTTGATCTTGAGAGAATGGAACGAAAGATCTGGAGTCCTCAGTGCTGGAAGGTGCAGGAAGAAGGTCTCTGCCTTCAAGGACAAAATGTGGAATGAAGAAAGTTAGAGCTGTTGCTGATTTATTACTGCACCAATGCATGCCGTCTTTGTTCCAGGTAATGGGTAGATATGGACCCCCTAGAACAGAGAGTGAAGTTGAAGTGGTCATATTTTGAGTGATTAGTGATGATGAGGATAGAACCTGGCCTGTCCCTAAAAGAGAACTAAAGAGAACCATTGCAGAAGTCCCCCATGAGCCAAGGCATCAGAAGATACAAACTTGGGAAAGACCATCAAATTAGTTCTGCCTGTCTCTCACCTAGAGACTGTGCAGGTGCCTAATATGATTCCTAAGCATGATCCAAAACATGGTAGATTTTCTGGCAATCTTAAATGCAAGTGTTCCAGTGATCCTATCATGTCCACTTAAAATCATGGCACAAAAAGTCAAACTGGGACAGTGGAGTGTATAAGCTACTTTCCCTGCCACCTTTCATTCTCCCCAACCCCCATTCCACATCTCTCTTTCCTAATATATATCCAAGTCAATTGTTAAGCCACTGCCTATTGGTAAAATGAGGCATTGTAGCCCAGTTCTACAAAATATTGCAATTTTGTGGATAAAAGAAGTAATTGGGGATTGAAATGTGGAGCATCAAGAAGCTAGTGTTAGGGGTGAACCATAGACATATCTTTTGGATTAGGCAATGCCTGAGGGAAGAGTGAGGCTTGGAACAGAGATGATTCCCAGAGTAAGAGAAAAATTATTAAGTGCTCTAAGGGTTTCTGAGGAAAAGGAAAGTATTTGGGGACACTAACTTCTGTTCTGCATAATGCTACTAGTGTGTATATATAAAAAGTCCCAGTGTGTACACATCAATGTATACATAATTGAACTGACCACCACTGTAATCCTGCCTTTCCCAAACATTTGTCCATACTCAAACTGTTAAAGTCAAATTTAAAATTTCACACTGGAGATCAAGACAAAAAGTTTAACTAGATGGCTATAAAAAATATCCTATACATTTTGATGCAATGGGTTCTGTCATTCCTCCAGGGAGTAGAGGAGATGATTTCTCTACCCGCTCTTTGGTTTCTGTGATTGATAGAGAGTGTACATAAACTGTATGACTTTCAAGGTGAGGTCACAAAGTGGACTTCCTATCTGTTGGCTAATTTAGATATTTTTCTTGGAATGCTCCTTCAGAAACCGAGTCACTATGTTATGAGAAGCCCTAGCCACGTAGAGACCTGCCTGACATACACATGCTGTGAAAATGACTGACAGAGAAATAGCTTGAGATGGCATTATAAACTATTCTTAGTAGTTTATAATAGTTTGTTTTATAGTTAAACAAGACAGTTTAATGCTTCAAAATTTCCATGAGCAATTTAGAATATTGTTAAGAATAAATAAATTAGGTGACCATAAATGGAATAAACACTTGTAGATCCGTTAATTCCTCATAGCTTTAAAAATATTGTTCAGTAAGTTAAATCTTCAGTCATGTTTAAGTAATATTCATTGCTCAGGAAAATTTGGAGGCATTAAGTAACACTTCCTAGCAATCATCTCTAGTTACTTATCTGTTAGCCATTTTACAGCTTTGAGTCGACAAATAACAGTTTGAATTACAAACATGTTGGGAAAAGGTCTCAACTTAGTTTCCTCCAAAGTGTTCATCTCAGGCTTCCTTAGTATTCGCATAGTCTGAAGCCTACCTCAGGATTTCTTTCCTGTTTTAGTAATATTTTGAATTTCTTCTTTGTCTTCTCTGGGAAAACATACTTCTGCTGCAAAGAAGGAAAAAACCAAGAAATTTCAAATCACAGACAAGAAGGTGAATTAAATGATTTGATTGTTAGCGATTAGGCTAGAGGGTAAGAGTTGCTCAAAAGGAGAGGACCCAACGCAGCCAGGGGCAGGGTCCTCACCTGCCACAGTCCCTGGAGATGGGGGATGAGTGGCACTGGGACTTCACTCCCAGAACTTTCAACCTCACAACAAACTTCTTCTGGGGACTAAAAGACTCGGGGCAGCAGAGCTCAAAGCAAGGCCAGTAGATGCAGTTGGGACCACACAGGCGGGTCCGGTTAAGGGGCAGGATGGTGTCATCGTCACAACACTTCTGCAAGGGGTTGTAGATGTGGTCCCCACATCTGGGCGCTGGCTGGCACAGCCATGGAGCAGTATCTGGAAGATGCAGAACAGGGTGGGTGCCCAGGGCCATTGTAGAATATCCCTCTCAATTGGCATCTCCTCATTGTATCTGCTCTCACCTGTGATTCCTTCTGCATTTGATGAGCCCAGGAGTTCAACAATGAAGACAGCAGCTGAGAAGAAGGGGAATGAGAAGGGGAATGAGAATGTGGGAAAGGAGCAGTCTGAGCATGATCATGGAGTGCAGGGTGATGTCATTGAGCTTTGGTTGCTGTTAGCCTCTCAGAGAGGATTTTGAGATGGACTGTGGGGGCAGGTGCTGGGGTCAGGGCTGGCAGGTGAAGAAATGCAGAGGAGGGCTCTGGGAAGAGTGAAGCTTCTGAAATTTGCAGGTGCGCAGAGAGGATGCAGTGCATCAGAGAAGACAGGGGGTGATCACCAAGTTGGAAGCTGAGAACAGAACAGGGAAGAAAGGATCAAGTTTGCGGTTCAGAGGTAAACAGGGATGCAATGACATTAGGGCTTACGTGGGGCTGGCATCTCCTTACCAAAAATCCTGGGCACCATGGCTCTGATTAGGTTGCAGAGCTGTGGATGGCAGAGCAGCAGCAGGACTGGATAAATGACCCTGAGCTGTGGTTTATATAGGAATTCTGTTCCACCCCTCCAGGCGGGCTTGGCAGCTTCTGTTACAACAGATGCTGCATTGATTCTGGAAAGGGTGTGGTGAAGAGAAGGCTAAGTGCCCAGAAAAGAAATCTGACAAAATCAATTAGCAAAATGCTCCCGCATCAAAGTAAAATCTATGTTGGGGGTTTCAAAGTTTTGATTCTGATAAATGCCTGAGGGAATAGTAGGAAGAAATTCTCCTGTTTTCCCTTATGGGGTGCAAATCAGCCTCCTGTTTTCAGGCTTCCTGAACTTCTCACCTCGGAAGTCCTAAGCACTCTCTATGCTCTCAACTTAGCCCATCTCCTGACCTGAACTGTTTACAAATCTTGAGAGTAATTTTGTGGAAAATCATGGAACTTCAGAGTGATCCAAAAGAGCAGGGCTTCAGAAACTGTGTTAATGACAATAAAAAGGAACCGTCCTAGGTTGGACCTCTGGTATTCCAAGACCATTAATGATTAGTGTGATGAGATAACAGTGTGGTATTGATGTGACCACCCTGGTTTTCACTGGCTGCCTCCCTGGGTCACAGTGACAAGACTGAGATGGTGAAGCAGGGATAAAGCAGAAGCATTAGAGTGTTGTAGGAGGGCATCATTAGTGGAGAGACTCCTCCTCTTTCTCCTTTAAATTGGTTGTGCAGTACTTCAGCATGAGTGGTCTGAGTACTGCTCTCCTCTCCTCATTCTGCAGAATGCAGGGGGTCAGTGTGTCAGGCTCTCACTATCCCTTTTCCTAGCTCCTGTGAAGATCCCTCATCCTCCAGAACAGCTGCTGGAAAAACAGACCAGTAAGAATTATATACCTTTGTTCCAACTTAATTATGTTGATATCTCATTCACTATTCTGAACCAGCAACCTAGAAATCTATGGCCACACGCAGGAGAAATCCTTGGGTGAACAGAACTAACTGTGGAGGAAAGTCATAAGGGTCATCACTAGAAGAATTAATCTCTGTATTATTAAACTGTTTACATAGAAAATCATACTATGATACCTATGGTCAAGCAAGACGCAGAGTTGAAAAATTCTGCCAGTAAATAAAACCAGCAAGCACTAAGCATGGAGGCACATGTCTGTAATCCCAGCCACTCAGGAGGCTGAGGCAGGAGGATCACAAGTTCAAAGTCAGCCTCAGCAACTTTGTGAGGCCCTAAGCAACTCAGCAAGACCTTGTCTCAAAGTAATAGTAAAAAAAAATATTAAAAAGGGCTGTAGATGTGGCTCAATGATTAAGCACCCCTGGGTTCAATCCCTGGTATAAACAAATAAACAAATCCAGCAAGCCCCTTATTACATTTAGTTTGTTATTGACATAGTGAAAGGAAGGTGAAATACAGGTGTCAGAGCCTCATGTTCCTTCCACAGACTGCAACTGAAACCAAAGTGTCCCTATGACTACAGTGAGAATAAAAGGACACTTTGTTGCTGAATACAGAAAGCTGTGCTTGAGCTACACAGTTCCACAGCCTGCAGCTGTGGAACCTAAGGTATGAGGTAGAAACCTCAGAACTCATCATCACCCACTGGTGGGTGGAAGCACAAACTCCCCGTGACAGCCTCATTACAAGAGAAAAAAATGACAATGACCTTGTGGAAGCTACTATAAGCCTCTGGGCTCTGCTATTCCTGGAGGATCAGACTCAGCTGCAGATAATCCTTTCCTGTGTGGCCAGTGGAAACATGAAGACCACCAGGGGACAAGGGGAGCCATTTCCCTAACCCTACAGAAGCTCCTGGAGTGGATCACTGATAATAGGATGAATGTAAGATGCAAATTCAGCACCCAAAACTCAAGTATTTCTCTACATTAGATTAAACAACAGGAGACTGAACTTCAAAAACAGTTTCACTTACAAACCCCCAGGAAGTATTTAGCTCTGGGTCTAATAAAACATGCAGAGGATGTGTGTGTAGAGCTACCTGTGACTGATGCCAGAAGTCGAAGATGAACTGACTAAATGGA